CCATCAGCACCATCCATCACTTCTTCCACTTTAATTATTATTATTATTATTATTATTATTATTATTATTATTATTATTATTACATATATATAAATATTATTTTGTTTGTTTTTGCTTTACAAAACCTGTCTATAAATTGAGGCCGCAAGGCTTCAAAGAAGCGGAGGCAAAGAGCTAAGAGGGAGCTTCCCAGAAGAGTAGAAAGGAGTGAGAGCAGTGTTTCGTTGTGGAGCGATAGTTTTATACTTATGTGGGTTTTATTTAAATTTTTGGGTTTGTTTTGTTTTAGTTTTTTTTAAGGTTTGAGATGAATTTTTAATAAAATAATTAGAATAATTAGTATTAATTATAAAAATTTTAATTATTGGATACTATTATATAATTTTTAGATTTTTATTGTAAATATATTTTTATCAATTATGTGTTCACTGATCGATGGAATACATGTTATATAATTGTTTTCAATGCTTGTGTTGTTAAATTGTTAGACGAGCCATACTTAGTAAGATGGGTTGTGCGATCAACTTGTAGTTAATGGTAGCTTTAGTGGTGATGATCCGTGCTTAATTAAGATAATTCATAAGTTTCTGGTTTTTAAAACACAAATATTTTAAATGGTGTATCTCGGGACCAAGGTACATCTTAGTATCTATTTCAATGATTTTTACAATTGTTAATATGATGATCCCAATTATTTAAGGTTAGTAGTGGATTCAAAAATCCTAAGAATTTTCTCATTTTATTGGCCACATCATTGTCTGTTCAAGCCACAAACAAATAGTCTCTAAATAGAAGCCATTAATATTTTATGCGTTCGACATCCATTCTCAAACGCCTTATCTTCATGTAGTTGTTATTACTCAGTTTAATTAGTTATATTTAGTATGCAAAACGATCTACTCACTACAGGAAAAAGATGGCTATTGCAACGCCTTCTTTTATGCGTTTAATGAAAAACCCATTATAGATTATTTAAATTACACGTTTTCTAAAAACGTGTAATCTTACTCAGTAAAAAACAGGCACCGTTTGCGGTCAACTTGTTAACACCGTTCAAACTACCGTCGCCTTTCAAACGTCTCTCTCTCAGTCTCACTCTGAGCTCCCTCTCAGTCTTCACTTTCATAAGCTCAGAAACCCTTCTCGATTTTGAAAGCATCAAAAAACCCACTTCACTGATTTTGAACGCTCACTCTCGCCTCGATTTCAAACACTCTCGATCGATTTCAGATCTGTCGATTTCAGAACCTGTCGCAGGTTTGAAGGTCTCCAGATTTGAGCTTATCTTCCGATTTTGGTTCTCCTCTCTTTGGATTTTGTGAGTTTCGATTTTGGTCCTTTGGTTCTCCTCTCGTTTAGGCCCCCTCATTCTTCTTTTTTTGAAGATCTGTAAGTTTGTTGCTGCTCTGTTTTGTTGCAGATCTCGTTCAATCGGTCTCTTTTTTTTGTTGCAGAACTCAGATCTGTAAGTTTTTATTATATATGCATTTGTTTTGTATGAACTCAGATCTCTGATTTTTCGTTGTTTTGAGTTCATTGTTTTGGATTTGGTGGATGTATCTCACCTCTCTCTCACGCACACACATCAAGCTATTAATGTTTCTTTCTAATCTACTCAATCCTCTTTAAATTTGTTTTCGTTTACATTTCTCACAATGGAAATAATAACAGTTTGATTTTTAATTTTTATTATTAGAGGGAGAAAAGACCTACATTAAGATAAAGGAAGACTACATATGTTAAACTTGTATAGGTTGCATCTAGAATAAAAACCAATTTTGTTATTCAAAAAAATGATGCTCTTGAGTAGAACTATTTTTGAAATATTTCAAAAAAGATGTGGTTATTTGTTTTTATCCCTTCTATTATTTTTTCGACATTTAATGATGATGAAAGGAGAATTATCTCCAATGTAAGAGAAAATGTAAAACAAGTACTTTGTGTGTGTGTGTGTGTGTGTGTGTGTGTGATTAGCATCCAGTTCTTAACTTGATAGCTTGCAAGATATCGTGACAACAACTCAGAGTCATAGTATAAGCTCATTTAAATTTGTGCATGAAAAACATTTCTGAGAACAGTAATTGGATTATTGAAAAGTTTTCTTTTGCTGTGTGACTCATCTTATATTTCGTGTGTGTTTACCTCAATTCAGATACAACTTGGCTGTACTTGTCTCACTAGATAAGATCCCAATCAATATTAGCATGATTTAAATGAATGTTAGCTGAATGCATCAATAGCAACTTTGATCCTCAAGCTTCACTAAAACTTTGTCTTGGCTTTGATGAGCCACTTCCCAATGGTCCTCTGTATCATTTGCTTGTTGATAATCTTATAATTCAAACTCTTGGCAACATAGATATATATATGTATTGTACATTTTGCAGATATGGTTGCAAGTCTGCATCCATCATGTTACAACCTTATGAACATTTGTTATCTGGCATGCTAAATTATGCAGTTCCTTTTATCTTCTTTGTTTGAGTTATGTGTGCTTGATTGCAATGACCATGATGATGTTAGTTGTTACCCATTGAAATTCTACAACTGCTGCTTTGTTTTCCTGTATAACTTCTGCATTTCTTGGGAACCTAATGGAGCAAGACTTTGTATTAAGTGAATGCTGTAGTTTTCTGTTTTTCTTACAGAGTGGGAATGTAATAATTTTCATTCTGCACCTTCAAACAATACATTTCTGTAATAAAGTAGTTCCAAGTATCACTTTCTTTCACCACAGAACCACAATTGTTATTATCTTACCCAGCTTAAATATCACTTTGATATATCGCTAACTTTGGAAATCCAATTTTGCAGTTCAACAAATAAACCTAAAGTCATATTGTTGCTACATTTCTCATATATATAAAGTAACCAAATGTATGGCTGAGATAACTCCTTATAGTTTTTATTATTCTAGAGTATGTATTAAGGGGGCATGTAATCTATTTTTCTCTGGTACAATTTCAAATGATGAGCTTGGCTGACTCCAAGGGCTCTGGTGTTTTTGCACTGCACCACTGGTCTTTGTTTGTATATATTTTCTAAATTAATCTGCTGGACATATCAATTAATCTTTTGGTTTCTAGAGTCATGTTCAGGCCAATCTGAAACTACATAAACATAAAACGTAGTGGCCCAATCCTGAAATCAGGCTTGAGCTTAATTTCCTAACCTCAGACCAAAAGGAAATGAAAATGCTAATGATGCAAATTTAACCCAAAACTACTTTAAAAAAAAGAAAAGAAAAATTTTGTAACAATTTTGATACAAATGATAGTTAGATTAAGTGGCTTGGCTATGAATTTCGGGGTTCACATCTTCGAACTAGTCCTTTTATCATAAATGAATTGGTGGCGGCAGTGGTGGTAGTGAAGTGACAGTGGCAGCAGTAGTGATGGTAAGGTGGAGGTGATGATGGTTATTGAGAAAGTGACGATAATAGAGTTTTGAGTGAAGTGACAGTGGCAGCAGCAGTCCTTTTCTTATGAATTCACTGAATACTTTCAGTTTTTAGTGTTGTTCATGATAATAGGGTTGTTCATGAGATCAATTACAGTCATGTATAATAAAGTAAGATGCGACAGATTTCTAATATGTAATGCATGATGAATTATCATTTGTTCACTGTCAACTTATTAGTCTAATGGGACTTATGTTTTGTTTTTGCTTCATATTTCAGGTAGAACTAATTGATCCTGCATTGAAGGGAACAGTTAATGTGTTAAGATCATGTGCAAAAGTTCCATCTATCAAAAGACTGGTTCTAACATCTTCGCATTTTGAAATGTTGACTGACATGATTTGACTTGGTAATATGAATATAACCAAAAGTAAAGATCATTTTTCTGATGCTTCATAATTCATATGTTGGAGAATGTGGTTAGTAGGGACATGAAACGATTTTCTAATTTAGATTGTCTCCAAAAGTTGTTCTGCTTTTTTGTGAAGTGCTTTGTTAAAGTTGTGATGATAAGCGATTCCATTTACCATCAAATGATAACATAGAACTGAAAATTTTGTTTTACTACTTGCTATAGAACGAAAATCATTGTATGAGCAATTAACCTGAGTTGGTCCACGCATGGTTTTCTATGAGAATTACACACTTTGGTAGGCAACTGGGTCATCATCATCTTTCATTTCAGAATGATTTATGCGATTTTGAGCTGCTAATTGGATGGTGAATCAGCTATAATATTATTCACCAGTGTAACTGGGTCAGTGAGGTGATTAGTGGTGGTGGTTATGGAGACAAGATGTACTTGTAAAGTCTGATATCTGAAATGTTTACCAAACAAAGAATGATTAGAAAAGGAATGTTCTCACATAATTGATTATTTGGACTGCATATAATATAGGAGGTTGTAGTAGTTTCGTGGTGTTCCATTTAAATTGATACTGTAGTTTAGTTTTCTAACAATGTTATTATTTATTGGGAGATGGAAATGGGATGAGGGATCTAGCGGGATGTCTAAAGTTCTGTCAGAAGATGGGGGAGTAATGTTATTGTTTTACCAAAAACTTCTGATTCTGGCTGCCTGCTATTTTTATTTACTTGTTTCTGCTACAGGTATCTATTCTGTTGCCCCTATGCCCACAACATGGCTTCAAAAGGGAAATACATTGCTTTTGTTACCACAGAAGCAGAGACTGACAACCCTGAGGTGGAATTGAAGCCTGGCATAGACCTACTTGGACCTGTAGACGAGATATTCTTTGAAAGTTATGACAGATTTGTACTTCAAGCTGAGCCTTGGTTGATTAAATTTGTTACAGGTTCAGTTTCTAGTTTACATCTCTTGCTTGCCTCTCTATAGATTTGTATTCCAAGCTGAGCCTTGGTTGATTAAACTAAGAATTTTTTTTAGTTTAAGTGAATTCATTTCTGGATTGCTTGTCTTGTTCTTGTTGAGCCTTGGTTGATTTACTTGGACCTGTAGACGAGATATTCTTTGCTTGTCTTGTTCATTTGTTACAGGTTCAGTTTCTATTTCATGTTCTATTGATTTTTTTATCCCAAATTTATTCTTTTCTTGTGTTGTGAAACAAGCAGGAAACTGGAAATACTGACATCGAAGGCGTTGACTCAACCAATGCTTGCTATGGTGGAACTGCAGCTTTATTCAACTGTGTCAATTGGGTGGAGAGTAGTTCATGGGATGGACGCTATGGACTTGTGGTCTGAACAGACAGTGCGGTATGATTATTTCCTTTGGATCTTTAATGTCTCTCTTGATTGTGACCAGTGAATTGGAACTTATTTTTTCCAATCCCAACATCCCAATCAATCAAATAATTAACAGCTGCTATTGCTATGCTTATAGGGCCTGATGCTCCTATAGCATTTGAAAGCAAATTCAGGGGAAACCATATGTCGCATGCCTATGATTTTTACAAGCCCAACCTTGCAAGTGAATATCCGGTAATTCTCCCTGAACTTCCGTCAATTTTCATGAAAACTCAGTATTTTGTGCATTATTTCACAATAATGAAAGGTAGTTTTCAATTGATGATTCTGACTATTTTGTGTTTCACTCTCCATACAACAAGGTAGTTTATCTAATACTGTTAATATGTGCAATTAATTTCTCTTTCTGGTTTACCATTCGAAGCTTTCAGAGCACTTGAAAAAATAACAGAGGTTTAAACTTTTTAGTTTAATCACTACAGCTTGTTCAAAAGAGCTTTGCCTGGTTGTGGTTCAATGACTTCTTGAGGAATGTCGTGATCTAGAGGTCTGTTTTGGCTCCTAGTCCTAACATGCATTTCCAATCTCTCTCTTACATTCTTTCTTTTACCTTACCTAGACTGTAACCTGCAATACACAGATTGCTTTCACCATGTCTCTCTTAAAACTAATTGGTGCTAGAGAGGGTTTTAGCTTTAGTTTTAAGATTATTTGAGGTCGACCTATCAGTGTCTCTTGAGCTTTTGAAGCTGTTATGAAAATCTCTCCAAGTATCTAATCCCATTTGTTCCCCTAGCTATGGTCTCTTAGTGTCAGTCGGCCATTAGAATGCCTTTGCTAAGACTATATGTGTTTTATTCATGTTATTTGTTCTTGTCAAATGTTGGTTCAAATATCAAAGAAAGGAAAGAAAAAGAAGAAGTAGATAGGACAAACTCAATGAAAGAGGCCTTTTTTTGTTGTAAGTTTTATCCTTAAAATTAAAGTTGTTGAGGTGGAATAATATTGTATTTCATCATCTCTACTGTGGTTAATTTCTAAGAAGTGTTAATTTTGTTACAAATTTTTGTTTGACAAAGTGCCTAATTTTGAGCAGTCCTTGAAATCATGGTAAATGGTCTAGAGGACATTCATAGTATCAGAATACTGAAACATCTGAGTTGATTTCATATTTTGGACAACATATTAAAATAGATGATCTAAAGGTTTATTCTAATTGATCATAGATTATCAGATGCAGCAATAGTGATGTTCCAATCTGCAGTGTAATTTCTAAAATTGACCAGCTTGTTCCTTAAATAAGCGTTGGCCCATGAATGAGTAACTTGTATAATCTTGCTGACTATTTTTTCTCTCTGGATTTGAATTTGCAAATTTGGGTGCAAGCTTTATAATTGAACTGGTGCAAGTAAGTGTTGCCTTTTTTTTTTTTTTTTTGTAAGTTTGTTTATCTGTTGATCGGGTGTGCTGACATTTTCATTTTTTTTTAACAGGCTGTTATAGTGTCAACAAACTAACTTCTGCTGGTTGCAAAGTAAAGATTTGAAGATTTGCACTAAATAACAAAAATGAGGGGGTGATTTGAAGAAAATTCAAACTGTTTAACAGTACATGATTGAGATTTGGAAAGTTGTAGGGTTAAATATCTTAGGAGATAAACTAGAATTTTTATGGTTTTCAATTTGGCATTATAATTTAAATTTGAGCCAATTTGTTTTATTTTATATTAATTATCAATTAATTCTCAATCGCTGTTCCTAGTTAAATTTATATAAATTCTCAGTTAATTCTCAATCTCAATCTCTATTCTTAGTTAAATTCTCAATTAATTGGGCTGTATTCCTAAAAAGAATAATAAAAAAAAAATGGCGTTTTTGAAAAAAATGTCACTAAATGTTGTCATCATGACATCACATCTGAGGTAAGTACTAAAAATGAAAAAAAGTGGCATTTTTTCAAAAAACGCCACTGAATGACGTCATCATTACATCATATATTAATTGTGACGGAAAAGTAGATGGCTGTTAAAGATTTTGCAACATTTTGAAAAACGCCGTCTAATATTTTTAGCGACGCTTTTGATACGTTGCTAAGCTATTGCGGCGGCCGTATCTACGACGAAAATATTAAACGTTGCAAAAACTTATTGCAGCGTTTTTCAATCATATAGCGGCGTTTTTGAAACGCCGGTAAAAGTCAAATTTCCTGTAGTGACTGGCCTTAATTATAACTTAATTGTAACTTTTGAATGCATTTTGGATATTTACCTAACAAAAAAAATCATGTGGTAACTTATTTAACCATACAGGTTCATTTTTTAAAAACTAATTATGAAAAATTGCACCAAATAGAATTATATTTATTTTAAATCTTTTAAACCAATAATCTATAAAACTATAATTATAAAAGTTAATTTATAAAGTGATATCAAATGGACATTGTATATTAGGCAAACTATTAAGCAGATTCTTTGGAAAAGAACATAATTAAGCATTGGATTTGCTATGGCCCTGTTTGGTAGGACTTATTTCCAGCTTATTTCAGCTTTTAGCTTAAGTTAAGCTATTTTGATGTGTTTGGTTCAGCTTAACAATACAGCTTATAGCTTTTTGTAAGTCAAAAATCAACTTATTCTTTAAGTGGGGGAGAAGAAGCTTAATTTATAAATAAAAAATCAGCTTATGTTCACAGTTATAAACTATAAGCTGTTAAGGTATAAGCTATAATCACTTTCCCACAGCTCTACCAAACGGGGCCTATAACCTGAAATAGTTTACATCCAACATAAGCTTTTATTGTGGATTTATGGAGTTAAGATAAGTTAGAGACGAAGTAGGCAAAGGATGGAGAGAATTTACATTGATGTAGTATGTTTGCTTGAAAACTGTTAGGTTTTTTTTATTGGCAATCCCGTTTGACAAAACTCCTTTGAGTTGTAATTTTATTCGCACTTTTTATTTCAGTTAGGCTATGAGCGTTTAGATGCGAATCCAACCCGAATTGTGCTTTTCAGAGAAGTTTGTGATGCTATGATGATGTTAGTTGTTACCCATTGAAATTCTACAACTGCTGCTTTGTTTTCCTGTATAACTTCTACATTTCTTGGGAACCTAATGGAGCAAGACTTTGTATTAAGTGAATGCTGTAGTTTTCTGTTTTTCTTACAGAGTGGGAATGCAATAATTTTCATTCTGCACCTTCAAACAATACATTTCTGTAATAAAGTAGTTCCAAGTATCACTTTCTTTCACCACAGAACCACAATTGTTATTATCTTACCCAGCTTAAATATCACTTTGATATATCACTAACTTTGGAAATCCAATTTTGCAGTTCAACAAATAAACCTAAAGTCATATTGTTGCTACATTTCTCATATATATAAAGTAACCAAATGTATGGCTGAGATAACTCCTTATAGTTTTTATTATTCTAGAGTATGTATTAAGGGGGCATGTAATCTATTTTTCTCTGGTACAATTTCAAATGATTTGCTTTCATGCAGCATGTCATCTTTGCATATTTTCCCAAATACCCAATCATATTCCTTCATTTGGTAATATGAAATTCAACCCCATATGAGGTGGTTACTTTTCACAGTATAAGTGACATGTACATCATGTCAGTACGTGCATACTATTTTCTAATGTGCTTCTATGGCAAACGAAGTAGTATGCAATATGCGATGAGAAGGCTTGAAGCATAGCAACGCTGACTTTGTGGGGTCTCTATTTTAATAAACTTTCACAATG